ATATGAAAGAAGAATAGAAATAAAACATTTGCGAAATTTAATAAACAATTGGCGGCAATCGCGAATTCGAAGTTGAAAGTTGTATTGGAGATAAAATTTGGAAAATAGGCGATCATCGTGCATTGATTGACATTGCTATAGATTTATATAGATGGATACATATCCTATCGATTTCCGACGCGTCGAATAAACGCGTCGATGAACATTGCGCGGAAAAACGTAAATCGAAGGGAGGAAATTCGTTGTCCGTTCGAACCAAGCTATATTCCAAATCCAAGGATTAACCATCGAATTCAAAAATTTGAAACAGTAGAGAAACGAAAGGATATTCTGTTCTCTCTCTTCTTCTTTTTTTTATTTAATTTCCTCCTTTTATATCTCGAAGCTAAAAGATCACGAGTATCTCCCTTCCCTCTATTAACCTCTCACAGAATTCCATCGATGACAATTTAAACAACTTTCAAAAAAATCTCAAAAATTCTCTCCGTTCCTTTTCTCGAAAGTTGTATATAGTTTATCTTCCCTTAGATAACTCGATCTATGAAAAGAAGGGTGAACGCAACCTCGCCCCAGCGGTTTTGATACCGAGCCACTTCGTAAAAGGAGGTTCCATTTACATCGTCGACACAACCGTAGCAGCCGTTGCCGTACGAATATCCGATGCTCCACGTCTTCGCGCGGATTATTCGTGTAAATGGGATTGTTCACCGAGCCAGCAATTTACAGCCGAGCGAGCAAGTAATACGCCGATTCTTCTCGAGCTCCTTCTGATATTCTGCCTTGCGCCCCCTCTCCTCTTTCTCTCGTTTACCAATTGAGGAGATTGGCCAAGATTATTTCGTATTTTCCCACTTTTCCTCGGCCTGTCGCCAAAGTTAGAATCGATCGATGCTCGAATAGAATTTCGTGGAACGAGCAACGGCGTTCGCCCAATCGGATTTCTTCTGTCTTTTCGGATCGATCATCGGACGAGCTTTTAAATCGGATTCGCGGAATTCTTCTGCGGATTTAAGATAAAATTAGGATTAAAAATTGTAATAAATGTTCGATCAAGTTAATAGGTTCAAAAATTTTCTTCCAAAGGATTCAAGATCACTCAAAATATGGTGTATTCGTTCTTATTAATTCGGATTATGTTTCGAGATATTTTCGAATATATCGAAAAAGGGAGGATGGATTATTTAAGAGAAAGATTTTTCGTTTTCGAAATTTTCGATCGGAAAGGAACTCGAGGATTCGAGTCTGTACAAGTTAAAAACTCTGATTACAATTATCAAAGTTGAAATGTCACCTAGCTCGAACGATATTATCGCGCCTCTAATCGTATGAGCACAAGGACGGTGTAAGCAAACAGGTATATCTCTGGCCGATGACGAAACATGGAAAAGGGAACGATCGATGATGTAGGCACGACTAATTCAACATTCACCGATTCTATTGGGTGGAAGCTTCGATAAATGGAAAATTCTCCGATAGGGAATGGCCAGATAAAGCTTTCCAGAACGAATTACGTTTCCAAGAATGAAGAGCGGCCAAACGTTTACTTACTTATCTCGTTATAATTAGTTATTTCAACAAATCGAATCTTAATGGAACACATTTTTGTTTGGAATTTCGCATCAGTCGCCATTCTTAGAATTTATACAGAAACTCTTTGAATAGATATCTTTTATCGAAGCATAAAAAAAAGATACGGATCTTTTAAACACATTTGTGTATGCAGGAATCGTTCGAAATTGAAATTCTCTGAAAATATAAAAATCCTATTTCTTTCTCCGATAATTTTTTTAATTCAGATTTAAAAATTATCTGATTTCTCGTACAAAGTGAGAACTATATTTTACTACTCTGTTATTCATTTAATCTCGGGCTAACCTAATCACGTTTCGAAGTTAGATAAAGACAGATTGATAATCCTTGACCTACTACGCTATGGAATTAAACTTTTTTTTTTATAATACATATATATTTCTATATTTAAATAAAATAATCAATAGTGGACAATAGAGACATTGAAAAATTCAAATGAAAATTCCTCAAATGAAATTGTATTGAATAGCGCGATTTCGAGTTCTAAGAATCTTTGAGCATGTGTCATATCCAGTGATCGCTATTTTTAATTTTGCCCAACATCGGAATTATCTTCGAACGACACAAGAATTGATATCGCGGTTAATTATTATTTCCACCAGACATTTCGAAACGACACGATACGAGGCACAAAAAAACAATTATTATTATAAGAATTAAGTTTATTGTAAGAATTAAGTAAGATTTTGAAATGGATCTTTAAATATCCACCGCAGTTGATGCGTCAAAGCATGATGCACTGCGGTGGACGTGTGACTCTTGGACACGTCATAGGCGCAGTAATTTCTGCATTTTCCTCCCATGATTTCATTATTTTATCTTTAAAAGCGACGCCGTTCTAATTTCCTTTGAGACAACATCTGTTTCAATGTCATGGAAGAAATCCAAAGAAACAGAACAAGTGACACAAAGAAGAAGTTTACGTAATCCTATGTAGACCGTGAAAACGCCTAAACGCAAGGTGTTTCTAGTTTCGAATAGGGAAAAAAAAAAGAAAAAAGAAAAAACGTATCGTTACGTCAAAGATCGCAAGATTTATCTCGTGAAAAGAGACTCTCAAGGACTCCGAGTTTTGCAGCGTAATAGTATCCCAGTTTCGTATCGTATAAAAAGATACGTGTAAAAAAGATGTCTAACCAGAACCAGAGAGGAGCAAAAAAAATAATAAACGGCGTAATAAGTGTTTCAAAAAAGAAAAGAAAAAAAGAGAGAGTAACTTCTTACACGATCAATAACCTGTTACCATTTTCATTTGCCTTTTTTCTCTTTCTATCATCTTAAAATCGAGTTCTTCTATAAATAATAAGAAACGAAACGAAACGAAACGAAACGAAACAACTAACGCACAGTTAACAGTAGAAATCAACGACGAAATCGCCCCCGAAAAAGGAACGTTTCGAGGTGATCCTGCATCTCGATCGCTGGAAAAACCAGTCCAACTGCCCCAATAAATTATCCGGATGCGATGAGGGGCCGAGATCTTTATCCTTAACGGTACGATCGATTTGCATAAACAACAACATCGGGGAAACAGCGCGGTATCACTCGCGTTCCTTGACCCTGCGACGAGAAGAACCCTCGAGCGCGGGCCACGCCGAGAAGGGTCTTTTATCCGTGCGCTAACCCTTCCCCTACCCGCGGCATTCCTTAGCGCTTAGCCTTAGAGAGCTCGTGGAAAGAGGATCGGAAGAGGAGAGGCGAGCGAGCAACGCTGCTGCACGGAGCATGCCCTTGCTACCAAGGTGTAACGTCCCGATACACCAGTCTGACCACTCTTCCACTCTCCCTTCCACCCTCCCTTGCCCTTCCTCCCCTCCCGAGCCATCGTTTCGCCTCCTTAGAACGAGCCTGTACTCTTCTCCTCGTACCCGTATCGCGAAACTTTCTAACCCAACAATTTTCAGAAAACACAATTTTCTGTATTGAGTTCCCCTCTTGGAGTTTCTTCGAAATTATTTATTTATTAAATTGTTGATTGCTGATTCGATATCGTTGATTGAGAAAATAAAAATTCTGAATGCATAAAGAGATTTTTATGTTTCGGGCATTGCAGCAGCATTCTACACCATGATAACGTTTCGATCTTGATTTCGTTAGACGTCGAAAAATGTCTTACTTGGAAGGAACTTTCGAGGTCGGATAGAAGAACGTTGTAGGTTTGTAGGTAGGTAGTTTGATGACGCGTATCTCCATAGATGAAAATTGAAAACTAGAGCAAAAATAGCAGCGAGTAGGTCGAGCAATTTGAATTTCATTCAACTCGACGACCCTCGGTTTGTTTGCGTTCTCGTGGCAAGAGAAATGGCCACAACGAGTAACGAGTTGTATCTCTTTGGTCGATGGTCACCCAAATCCTTTCGCGATTCAGGCTTTGGGATTTCACGATTATCGCTACGAGACATAGCGCTAGTATCGCGAATACATAACGAATAGCGATATCAAAGTGGTAGATAACACACAGGATGCAACGTACAATTGAGTTTCTAAACTTAGAACTGTGATAAAGCGACTGCGCGCTGTTCTTTAGCCGTTTCTTACGACCGGATAATAGTACATGGAATCTTGTATAATATAATAATTTTCTTATTGTTGTTTTTTTTATCATTTCGTTCTATAAAATTCTATTTTAAAATTAGAATAGAAAAATTTAATAGAGAGAACTGGAATAAACTAGAATGATTTGTAAATATTCTAATTCTAGGTCATTCTCGATGATAAAAAAAGATACGTACAAACAGCATAATCTCGCAGTCGAGTAACGAGTAACGCTTTACCGATAATCAAACAAAAACAAAAAAAAAAGGACAAAGGTATACGATAAACATACATTTTCATACAAAATGTCACTGTTTAACTCCGATAAAATTTTCATAATTATCTTACGCTATAAATTTTTCTGAATTATCTTCTCGTTAAAATTTTACAATATTTT